TTCCATCCACGCCATCAACTCGGTTCCTTTTTTCTTTTTGGTCGAATCAAGAAAGAAAATATAGCGAGGAAAACCTTTTCGCACATTGTTTCCAACAAACCGAAATTTACGGGGATTTCTTCCATTTTTTCCCTTCGAGTTTTTTTTTTTCTCTTCTCCGCCTCCCTGGGGGAAAATCAACCGTGAAGAAAATAATTTATGCAAGCTCACATCAACTCAGTCTAGACTCGATCGTGAGGCTTTTTCTGCCACAGAAAGTATTATAATCGCAGTGGGACGCAAGAACGTAAGATTTGCTTCTTCGAATGCAGCCCTTTTTCTTTTATCGTCGTCATTAATCATATTTTGAAGACGTTATTAGTTTTTGCTTGGGCGGTTTTAGGCAGTAAAAAACCCCCTTCCGTCTGGGATTCTTTCAAAGTGAAATTTCAGTGAAATTTCGAGACAAGAAAGAGAGAAAGTGTATAGATATTTTGACATGGAAAGTTTCTTAAAAACATCTTTTTTTTTTTAGTAAAAAACCCCCTTCCGTCTGGGATTCTTTCAAAGTGAAATTTCAGTAAAATTTCGAGACAAGAAAGAGAGAAAGTGTATAGATATTTTGACATGGAAAGTTTCTTAAAAACATCTTTTTTTTTTACGAGTTTCGCAGATTTAAGCTCCGTTGGTCAGAGTTTCTCTCGTGATTATTTCTTTGGTCCTTTAATGCAGAAATTTCTGGGATAGGTAAAAAACGTTTGGAAAAAAGGAATATATCTTAGATTGTTTTCACACTGCAATATACACAATTATAGAAACACAGCGGCGCTGAAAAAAAGAATATACAGTACGCATTTTAATTGATTTTACGGTGGGTTCAACATTCGAACCCATCAGAGAATACCCACAATATCTTTCTTTCGTACTTTCGATTCCTAAAAAGCACAATAATTTTCTTCCAAGAAGGATATTTGAAAATATAATTTAGTCAGGAATTTATAAAAATTGCTCCCGATTCAGGCAGACTTTGAAGCATTACAAAAGAAAAATTGCTATTTTATTCAATTTTGGGATCGAGGTTGAATTTCAGATATCATTCTACTTTGATTCTTTCGCTTTCTTTAAAAGAAAGCGCCTTTTATGAAAGATCATTGGAAACCACTCACGAAAATATTGAGGCGATTCTGCGACTTCTGAAAACTTTTAGTCGCTCTCTTTGTTATCCACTTTTAAGCTTGTAGTTAGGCAAGTCCTTAAAGCAAGGTGAAGTCGTCGGCCTTCTACGCTTGTTTCTTTATGAGTCTTCTTGGTTTTTTAAACGCGGGAAATCCTCGCCTATTTCTTTCCTTTTTCCAGCACCAACAGTTGATCAGATTTAATTTCTGCACCTAAAGTCGGGAAGAAAAAAAAAAAAAGGCAAAAATTTGCGGCCGGTTCATTGACACTCGATTCAGCACTGGGGTTTGTTGAACTGCCCCCGGGGCTTTGACCCCATGAGCCCCCCAAAAGCCTTTTCTTCTACCTTGCCAATTACTATTCTGCAATAAAACAATGAGCACATTTCCCCCCTCTCCTTTTCTCATTTTTCTGCAGCCACAAAAAAAAATTATTCAGATTTCATGAGGAAAAAGGGGGATTTTATTATGATCGAAAATTCGACGCATAAATTCGGGGAAACTTGAATATCCAGATTATATAAGGGAGTGGATTAAGAGGACTGGAAGCAGCCATTGTTGTACTGCGATTGGCTGCATGCAGTACTTGCCAAGTACCTCACCTCTGAATATATATATATATGTACATTCACGTACTGTGCGTATACATCCCCCCCCCCCTCCTTCTCCGGTACTTTTGCTCATCAAGTACCAGAGCAGGGAGGCCAATGGAGTCCTGGGTTCGACAGCAAATAGCCGGAGGGGGGTTTGGTTTGTTTGATGGCATTCGCCTCTCACCCAGACTCATCAAATAGGAACTGGCCAATAAAAGGCCCTCCCCCTTTTCTGAGATGCATTTCCATGTCTGAAGTTTACTTGATGGCCCTGCTGCATATTAATTCGGGATTAGGATGCAAAACCCACTGATACCCCCCTTTCTCTGTCTTCACTTTACTTTGCTGCTGCTGAATTTCAGCGGGGTTCAAGAGTTGCGATTGTTTGTTTTTATGCCGGCTTATTGTCTTCCAGGGCATTGAGCTTCTGATGTCGGGTTTATTGGGACTAAATGAGGATATATATTCGGGTTTCTCTTGAGCAGTTTTTGAACTCGAGTGCGAATTCAAAATTCCTTTCGGTCATCAAGCGACTGTACAATGAGTTTTTTTCTTAGATTTTTTTGGCATACAATTGAGATTAATAACGCATTTGAGTGAAATATTGTTGATATAATGACAATAATGGGGGACCTGATGAGAAGGAACTTATTCGTTAAAAAGCAACCTTTATTACAATAAATTCAAATAGCCTTGGGGCTTTTCGGAAGAGAAGTTATAGAAAATAATTTGGAAAGTGCAATAAAATATAAAATAATCCCAAAATAAGCTTTTTTAAATTATGAAACACTTGAACATTCCCAAAAAGTTAAGCGAAACAATTGCGAATTTGAAGTATATTTTCCAGTAAAATATTTTTTTCAATAAAGCCATGCTGAGTACTTCGAAAAATCTTACTTATACTGTAACAACAAATTTGTTATACAGTATGAAAATTAAATTGTCGCAATTTGGTGCGGACCTGAAAAAAAAACGCGCTGAGTCAAAAATATTAAAAAAATCCAAAATAAAGAATATAGAATTTCGGAAAACCTGGAATTTCGTTGAAGCTTAGAAAATCAATCGAAAAATTGAAAAACACTTTTTAGGAAAATGTTTTAGAAAAACGCCAGAGAATGTGGAACCTGAAAAAAGCTTGCTTACAACAAAGTACTCGCTATAATGAATTCAAATTAAATTGTTATTCTTACATTGTTACCCAGGAAAAGACTGTGTTGAGTCCAAAAAAACTTCAAAATTATCCCTGATGAGTCATTTAGAATTTTGGGCACCATGTAATTTTCAAAACTGCTAGGGAAAGGAACACAAATTTGAGCAATTTTTCTTCCAATTAAATGTCGCCTAAAATAAAGCGATTGAGACTTGGAAAAAGGGCAGGGATTTTTTAAAACATTTTACAACAAAACTGGAATGAGATTGTAGCTTTTCGCACGGACTTGTAGAAAAATTATTTGTTGAGTCGGGTGAGATTCAAAATAATAATAAAATCCACCCTTTAAAATTTTATAAAAAGTTGAGAGAAACAAATTAGAAACGAATAACTCTACTACTAGGCTTTTGTGTGACTTTTTTTTCGCTAGTAGAGTTAAAAATCCTCCACAAATTCTAATTTTGTTCTCACAGCGACAGACCGAAGTTAGTTCAGGCATTTTTGCTTCCCATGGAGAATTTCGATCAAAACCGCAAATTTTTGTTACCAATTTTTGGGTGCTCAATATCAAAAGAGGATACGGGATTCAGTGGGATTGAATTGATTGGGTATTGAAAAGGATTTTTTTTCCCAGAATGGGGGTTTTTTTCGGGGGGGGGGTCAACCTCTTTGAAGGGTTGATGGTTACGGGGAAAAAAAAGGAGAAAAGAAAGATGAATTAATCCCCCCACAGGGGGTTCATTATTTTTTCGGTTTCGATACCAGGGAGGGTTGTTCACTTTTTGGTGTTGATCAGGACCGAATTCTCATTGATTTCACTGCAGGAGGGGGGAAAAGTTGCGAGTTTCCCAGGGTCTTTCGATCCAGTGACATATTTCCCCTTATCGTTTTCTGTGGCTTTTCTTTCATATTTATTTATTTTTTTCTGCTGGGTCAGGCAGAATAAACATTGGAAATTTTCCGGGGGTTCAGATTTGAAATATCCTGACAGAGCAGATTTCCCTTCAAGATCAAACAGGTTGATAAAAACTTATTTTTTATTATTATAGAAAACCCAGTAAAATAAAAAAAAGAGCGTGCACCTTTTCCGTCCCTTGAGTTTATTGTTTTCTGACAGTGCAGAACTTTTTTTCGCATTAATATTTTTTCTCTCCTGTCATTGTTCATCTCGACAAAAGGTAGGAAGCGGACATCATTGAATGTTTGCTTACTGGTCTTTTCTTATTTTTTCCCCCTGTCTAAGTAGCCATGAAAAGAAAACGTCCAACCGCAGAAAAGATGCTTCGTAAAGTTTTTCTTCTGTCGAATAACGTCCTTCTGGAAATTGGCAAAGCGTAACGCTTTTTGAGAGACCGTCAGTCACATTTTTTGCGAGAAGTTGGCAGGGTTTCGGATATACAAGTAAATATTTCCGCAGAGTTGTTGCTTAAAAAATGTCAAGCGTTTTATTATGATTCAAAAACACGACGTTGTAATTTAACATTTGTGCTGAAATTCCTATGTTTTTTTTCTCGTTAAAAAAAATAGGGACATTTTTGACGCGTTCCTGTAGAAAAAAATCGCACTTGCTCTCTTTTACATTTCTGAAGTTTTCCTTTTGAAGAATACGAAATCACGTGATTTTAATAAAATATATCTTTTTTTTTACAAAATCATCGAAAATTCGCTTCGAGTCGGAAAATACGACGCTATAAATTCATATTCTTGGTGAAATACTGAAATTCCAACGTTTTTCGAGGCATGAACATTTTTGCAGCGTTCCTGTAGAAAAATCCCATACTTTCGAACATTAAACAGGACATTTTTTAAAGTTTTTCTTTGTAAAGGGACGAAATAACGAGAGTTATCGCGATTTTTATTAAATTTCCCAATTTCAGGAAAAATAAATAAATGAAATTCAACGGAAATTTGCGGAAGATTCTGCTCACGTTTTTTTCAGTCCTTCATTCCAGTCAGCCAACTCCTTATTGGGGACCCGAAGCAGCAAATATTGAACCGTCCTGCGGATGACAATTTGCAGAAAGGACATGAGGCAAAAAAAAAACACACACACATTTTACTTTTTTTATTTTGCGCGCGCAGTGGAACCACTTGAACACGCACCTGTCAAAAAGGTCTGTTTGACAATTCATCGCTGTTTGCTCGGACTCTTTTTCACTGCAGGAGAAAAAATGAAATGAAATAAATAAAATGTGAAGTGTAGAGGAATAAATGAGGTACAAAACCCACCTGGGACTCGTTGCCGTGGACGAGGGAAGCAAAAAGATTTTGGCACACAGAAGCTCGAGATTTGCATAATCGCTCCAGTATGGGAAAAAGCATCGAGGAAATAGTTTGGTCAGACCTTCGAAATGCAGCCAACGATAACGAGAGAAAAATTCACCGCATAATTTTTGCAACGTTGCCACGCATGAATCCATGAATTCTGTTTCTTCTTTTCTTTTTTCTCTGGGTTTATATCTGCAAAAATTTTAAGAATCATTTTCTCGAATAACATCAAAACATTGTACTCTCACTTGTCAAAATTTTTAGCAAATTCGAATCACATTGAAAAGACGCCGATATCCTCAGAAAAATATTTATAAATTCGCCAAATCCTAAAGTTCTCAGTTCAAAGGGTAAAATTCGCCGAAAGATCAAGCCGCCGATTTTATAGGATTTTTTAATAATCAAAAAATTCAAAAATAAAACTAATTGAGCTGCTGTATGAGCGTACATTTTTGAACTAACAAGTCAGATAAAATTTGGTTGTTCAATTAATTATGAATTTTTTTTCGTCCCGCACTATTTAACCATTCTGTTTCAATTGAACAATTATGTTGCAGATTTAATAGGCTTAGAAAAGTAGACGCAAAAGATAAGCTGTAAATGTAAAGTATGAATTTTAGGTGAAGGAAATGTGGCGTCCATATTAAAGAAAAAAATCGCCGAAACTCCATTTCAGGCGATGCAGTATTAATTTAAAGGAGAGAAACAATATCTTCTGAATGTTTTGATTATAAAACATTCCAAAAAATTAATAGAAAATTCCAAGTGTAAGAAAGTACAGCACACTTTTAAACTAAAAAATTGACAGAATTTTGAAGCTTGACTGAATTATGGGGCTTCTTCTCCGCAAAATGTAACCATCCTACCACATATGGCGAATTAAACCCTCAAAAAGTCATTGTAAAGATGTTCAGATCATGTTCCAGGTTTAATAGGCTTAGAAAACTAAAGCCAAAAGATCAGATGAGAAGTAGGAGCTTACAGTGAAGAAAATATGGCGTCCATGTAACAATTTCTCAGAGACTATAATTAAAAGGACAGATAATTCAGTTTTCGAGGATAAAAAAATTATCCTAGAAATGTATGCCACAAATCTTACCTGGAAGACGACCAAAATCTTTACATTAAAATGCAAGGTATAAGGAAATCAATTTTTAAACTCAAAAACAGATTTGATGCTTGATTCAATTGTGGAGCCTCTTCTCCTTTATAATTCAACTATTCCACCTCATATTTTGCAAATTATACTTTCAAAAATAAAAGAATGTGAAGATATTCCGTTCATCTTCCGGATTTAATAGGCTTAGAAAAATATGATGCTGGAGATCAGATGAGAAGAAGTAGGAACTTACAGTGTAATGAAAATATGGCGTTCATCGAATAATTTCGCCGAGACTCGAATTAAGGCCACAGTTTTTTTATGAGAAAAAACGTTCTCCAAGAAATTTATGCCACAAAGCTTACGTGGAATAAGACCATAATCTTTATATTAAAATGGCAAAGTGCTGTATTGTATAAGCAAATGAAATTTTATAACTCAAAAACATGACAGAATTTGATGCTTGATTCAATGGTGGAGCCTCGTCTTCTCCTGCATAATTCAACTATTCCTCCACATATGTTGCAAATCATAAACGAATGTGAAGATGCCCAGTTCACGTTCCGGATTTAATAGGCTTAGAAAAAATCAGATGCAGGAGATGAGATGAGATGAGATGAGACGTATAGGAACTTACAGTGAAGGAAATGTGGCGTCCATGGAATAATTTCGCCGAGAGACTGGAATTAAGGAGATTGAGGATTCAGTCTGACGAAAGAAACAGGTTGGCTCAGGTTACTCAAAGAATCATAAAACGACTCCGTTTCGGAACCCGGACTGAATAAGATATGAAGCGAAACCGATTCACCACATCAAAAACTTTTCGGGCTCCACTCGGCCTCCTTTCTATTTGCTGCCCAACACGATTATTCCAATTGGAATATGCAACGTTATAAATTCCTTATCGAAGAAAACGGGAGTCAAGAAGTCGACAAGGCAGAGGGAACAATAAAAAAAAAATATATATATATATATATGTATGTATGTGTATGAAAAACACGCAGATGCTTGCACAGCGCGCAGGAATTTTGCGCATTGACTCAAAAGATTTTCTGCAAACGCGGTTGTTTGGCGCGATAAGGACGCCTTCCCCCTGCTGAGTGGGAAAAGAATTTCTTGCTTTCCCACCGCCGAAATCCACCGAAATACACACCGAACGCTTTTTCGTTCCGTTTTCCCGAACAGAAATGTTCAATGTCAACAACGGCAAACGCAAAATATAAAATGAAATAATAACGCCCGTGTTTACTCCAATGTGAGACGCCATCGATTATAAGACACGAATCTAGTTCCTTTTCCTCCTTTTCCACAATTTTTTTTGAAAACCAAAAATAGAAGTACTGTACGCACAGTAGTACATTGAGTTTGGTGTTGGAAATATAAAATGAAATTTCGTTCCATCAGGAGTCTTCAGAATAAGTTCATTCTGCCTACAGTAAAATTTCCTTACCACAAATATACTATTACAACAATTTTTTTCTGTACGGTATGACAAACTTTTTTACAATTCCTGACAGAAATCCTATATAGGGTACATGTTACAAAAACTTCATTACCACAAGCTTGCCCTTTTCAGTGAAACAAACTTTTTTGAGGAACACCTTATGATTTCTTAATGAAAAATCCCTAATGAAGGCAGGCACAGTCTCACATTTCCCATTCAAAATGTGACTGTGACTGATTCTTCAAACATAAATAGGAATCAAGGACAAAAACTCTTAAAAATTCACTGGAATATCCTCTCTTTCAAAAATTGTTCCTAGGTTATGAATTGTTTTGGGGGAGAGGGGGGGGGGGTTGAAAAAAAATGAATCCAGCAAAACCCATGTTTAAAGGGCTTGAAAACCCAAGTGATGTAAGAATTGTAAGCAAGTTTGGAACATCCACCCTTACAAATCTTTGCTTAGACAAATTCCAGAGACAAAAAAGTGCCAATGTTTACCTATTATTCAAAATAAATGTTTTTTTTAGATCAACGATTAAATCTGTTTTTGAAGATCATACTTTTTAAAACACTGAAAAAACATCTGAAAATGCCACAAAAGGGATATATTGAATATATGCAGGTCTAATTTGAATAAAATCTTCCAATTAGTCAATAACTTTTTAAAATCTTGTTATAACAAATGTTTTTTGAAGTCCCCACTAGTTTGTTTTAACAAGATTTTACTGTATAGGTTTCAGTTCAAATGCTTAAAACAGAAATCGAGATTTTGCTTCTTTTTTGCACTTGTACTAAACCTTTTTGAATGATGATCTTTCAAACATTTGCATTCAAAAGAATATTTTTTGCTGATCTGATCAAGTCTGCATAGCAAATATTGCACTGCAAATTTTACAACAGAAAGTAAAAATTATCTTTTCTTCAAATTTGAAATGTTTTCCATTACATTCAACATCAATTGGAGGAATCTAGTGTAAGTCTTCAGTAAAAAAATATTTTTCAAACATTTCCAAAATCGAATCAAGACTCTGGGCTGAAAATGTAAAAAAGGGTTTTCTTAGTCAACTTCTTTTGGCAAGGTTGCTCTTCTTTGTTTGAAGGAGGTCAGAACTTTATCAGTAAATCCAAGATTCCATCAATAAATGAAAACAGCATGAAATTTAACATGATATTCAAAGAAGAAAAAATACTCATAACAAGACACAGAAAAGTTTGTTGTATGCTGTATTTATGCAAGTATTGTACCATATGCTATGTGTCAGTTTTACACCTGCATTTTTCAACATAAACAAAATAAAAACTTATTTATGAGTATGACATGCATCCATCCAAGTTCCCAGGGACTAGGATTTTTGGTTTATTCAGAAGACTGTAAATGTAAATTTTTGAAATTTAGGATCAAATTAAGTTTAATTAAAATTTTTTGGAACTATGTATGGCAATCTTACATAAGGCACCATCACATGTATAAGACCTCGTGGGGATTATAAGAACGCCTTGAACGTCTTTCATCCACATCCAATAGCGAAAAAAGTTAATCTTACATTCCACTTAATAGGGTAAAATGAAAACTGGCATTTGCTTTGATTGATATTCTTGACAATCACTGAGATGAAGGCTGTGACAAACAAAAGGCTGACACGGGAAGAAAATTGATGGGCCAAAACTTTTTGCATTCTGGATGCGCTTCGAGATGCGATTTTCTTTTTCTGCACGACCTTCAGTGTTTCGTGCGCCTGCGACACGTAGGCTACGATGTTCCCGCGAGAGGGAATGAACGAGCATGGGGGAGGGGAAGGAGGGGTTTTTTGGTTGCCAGGGCCACAGGCCTTGGAAACCCCAGTACTGAGAGACTGCACCTTGTGCGTTTCAGTGAGTGTCACAGTGAGTTTACTGTAATGAATTTGTTCTTCTTTTCTGTCCATTTCAAAATGCTCATGTCATTTTCAGTGAACAATAAGAAGCACATTCGCGTTAAACAATGAAATAAAGATGTGTGTGAAAGTATGAAAAGCTTTACAGTCGGATTATTCTACTCATGCACACGATACCAGAGTGATGATCTATAATTTTTCCAATGTAAATTTGAAATTTTACTCTGTGACCTGCGAACTAAAAGCATTGTGTTGAAAATTTTATGCGTAGCTCTGTTATCAATGCCTATTTATAATCTAATCTAGCATTTTTGGTATTTATTAGGGGTGTTTAGAAAACTTAATAGAACAAAGCTGAGTTTCTATTCTACTTTGAAGAGTTTTTTGAACGTGTAGAAGTAAAAAATAATGCTTCTATTATGCTTTCTTATTACACAGGACAGTCAAGTCAAAGTGTTTTGTTATGAGCTCATTTTTCACTAGTGTCCACCATGTAAGTACTTTAACAGATTCTGCTGTAGTTAAGAAAAAGCACAAGAAATAAGCGTACTTGAAAATTTTGATTTTCTGCAACAAATGTTTGTCCAACCAATTTTGTAAAGCTCATACTTATTGAGCTATTCTGTGTTGCATTATCATTAACTGTTAACTTTTCATTTTATTGAAGCTGCAGTATTATTATATGCAACAAGAAGTTCAGCAATTTTCAGGACTTTGTGCCAAGCATTGGTAAAAATATCAATTCACCCCAAGTTTGTATTTTCATTATTTTTTTAGTTACATTTCTTTTGCGGCATGATCAAAAATGACATGTGACATGACCTCATATATTATTTCATTTTCGTAAGTGTACATGAGTAAAAAAAACAGCTCAGAAGAAAGGAAAACATGTTCAATTCAATCAATCACAGAATATCAGTTATGTAACAATAATTGTGTGTAAATGATAAAAAATGGCATGGACAGCATCTTCACATTTTACTATTTTAATTTCCTTATTAAGAGGTAGGAAAAAATAGCCACTTCTGAATTTAATGTCCATTAAAATAGTTATTTCATTGATTAAAAAACTATTCTAAATATCTCAGAAATTCTGTACATAACATTCTTCCATACTTTTGTAATGCCAACGTCCCTCTTGTACCTGAACTGATACAAAAGGGCATGGAATTCAAAATAAAACACTTTAACCAAGTGTGGGGTTCACCTGGGGATCTTGCTTACAAGATCCCAAAGAAACAGATAAAGTATATTTCATTTTAACCCCAAGCACAAAAATGGACCTTTTCATGAATTCAGACACACAACAAGATTGATTGGAATAAATTGAATAAATTCAATAAAAATCTCACACCACACTGTCTGAATGTTTCATGACATGATGGCGAGTTGGAAGCTGCTGATAACATGATGAAGGTCTGGAATGTTCTGGATTAATCAAATAACTCTTACAAATTTCTGGTATGGTGCGATGGTACTTTAACGTACCAATTTATTCCGCCACAAAATCCCCCCTTGTACACCTAAGCTGTACAAAAAGTAAACCTTTTCAATTACTAGAGTCGTTCTTGTAAGCAATTCCCAAAAATAAAATTTGCTTTCATGTACTCCACATTCTTTACATTGGTTCACAAATTCATCAGCAATTCTTTCAGGAATTTCAAGGATGATTTTAAAAACTTTCCATGCTTTCATTTCCTTCCGTTCAACTCTCACCTTTTTTTTCTTCTTTCAACTGCGTATCCGTGAAGCACGAAGCAATGCTCACCATTTTAGAGAGCCAGGGATTGGTCAGCGAGGATGAGGGGGAAACAGGGTAGGTGAAGTCACTCACTGCGCTGTGCGCGCCGCAGAGGGCGAAACTTGCAATTCGTTGGAGAGGCGAGCATTCGTGGATGTGGCATCGGCGTGTTCGCATGTGTGTGTATTTGACTTCGATGACTACGTATACGGAGTGTTGAGACGAGGAAGACTCATTCGCTTGACCCCAATTCCTCTCAACACTCAGCGCCAAGTTTCTTCCGTATACTGTACCACACTGGTTTTTTTTCTCCTGGCTTAGTTGGTTTTCAGTGTCCGGAAACGTGCGTTTCGTGTGTATGTATTTTACGGAAGTTTTCGAGTGTAAGCGAAAAAAGGAACTTCAGTTCATTCGATTCGTATGTGATGCATCTTGTGGTGTCGAGAGAACGAGAGTTGAGTTGGTCGATGTGAGGTTTTCAAGGATTTTTAGTGGAAAAATGCTAATGATGAATTCTTCCAGAAGTGTTTTCTCGCAATAAATGGTTAATTTCTGCGTCGGAAAATGGGTCTTCAGTGGTTTGAAATGGTAGTTCATTTTCATTCGAATATTTGGCGCGAATGAGTGAAAATTCCAACAGACCCATCACAGGCAACATTTTTTGCCCTTCGAATTGTTTTTTCTTTTTAGAAAGGACTACCAACTGCTTCCCGAGTTTTTCGAAAAGGATTTTTTCTCTACATAGTTTTATATTGTCGGAAAACAACTGAATTCTTTAGTTACCGGCAGCATTTGAATACGGAAAAAGGTCACGCAATAGGATTGATTTTCAAGAGACCGATGAGAGAAACGGTTTTTCCAATCATATTATGTTTAATACTGTAAATTTCAGACGGAACAACAATCCCTCCAATTTTTTTATCATTCCTTGTTTCTACAGTGTAGATTTTATCCATTTTTTGTATGTATGGACATCAGAAAGTGGAGTGGAATTGTGCCAGGTTTTCAAATTTCAACATACGAATATGAAAAAAGCCGTTTTCTTCTTTTCAGAGGAGGGGGGAAGTTAAATTTGTCCCGATCGGATGTCCGGGTTTTTTTTCGACAGCTGAGTGAACTGTGTGGAGACTCGGGTTTTTTTTTTCTACAATTACGACCCGAGTGGACTTCTTCCTTGAAAACGTGGTGAGTAACTGAAGACTATCCCGAAGAAAACATCCCCAATGAAAATGGGACCCTGTAGAAAAGGTTCATGCGAGAAGCCTTGCGAACAGATTTGTTCCTGTTTCAGTGATCCGTGTTAATTCAAGTTACTGACTTTCTAAATCGCCTTAAATCTGAAAAAATACAATTTTGATAAAAAAAAATAGCGTCGACAGAGGAAACCACTTGTCATATTCGCGGTCTGAACAAGTTTTCGCCAGTCCAGGCCTTCTTTTCTCGACCTGTTGTTGCTTTTGTCCCCGGGACATTTTTTTTTGTGCCCGTTTTCTTCTGAGAAGTTTCTCTTGAATCCTTGTCAAGACACCTTGAGAGAAAACACTTACGCACGAAAAATAAACCAGAGTTTCTTCCATCTCGAAGTGCCTGAAGAATCAAGAAATAACATCCCCAAAGAAAAAAGACCTGGAAGAAAATGTCTCAGGGAAAAAACCGAGAAAAGATGGAAGTTTTGGTTCAGATGAGAAATACTGTACCAGCAGAGAAGAGACCCGGGTTTCCTCCACCTTAATTCGACTTGAAAAGGGTGCCAGACGAAAGCGTCCCTGATGAAAAGGGCCCCCTCAGAAAAAAAATCAGATTTATGGCAATTGCGGGAGATTGTAATTTTATTTAGGCTTCCTGAGCTTTTGTATCCTTGGACATTTTCTCCCGGGTACATTTTCTCGCCAGGGACGTTTTTTCCTCGTTTCACAAAATTTCAGTCTCGGACTTGAGAGAACCCATATACTGTAAAGGAGACCCATGGAGTGTGTATGTGAGGAAAAATCGTAACGTTTTCCGAGTTCACCGGCGGTTATTGAACGAAGCAACACGGCAATTGCTTATCGAGGTTTATTATCGCCCAGTTTCCGAATCTCGTTTCACGTCCTGCGACTCGACAACGACGTCGTTGTGACGACCGACGACTTTTCCACGTCCAGAAATTATCAAACCAAATTCGGTCCGTTCGCGGAAGATGTCTTAGGTCCATATTCTCTTTTTTTTCTTTCCTACCAATTTTTATTGTAAGCTTCATTTCGGAGATTACATCTGAAACATTCTGGCGACGCGAGTGGACCTTAGTAAGTGGATGTGCACTTTATTATAAAAAAAAAAAACAAAAACGAAGCAACAATGGCAGCAAAATACCGACGCGCAAAAAATCTCGTTGCTGAGCGATTGCAAAATTTTGAGAAATTATCGCGGATCATTTTTATGTGCGAAAAAAAATCTTCTCGTGAGCTTCCTTTTAGTTATCATGTGTAAGAGTTTTAGGTGATCCGTTTCGGAATAATTTTTAAAACTTACAAATATTAACGTAAGTTTCATTTCAGAAATACCGATTGAAAATGCAGTATATACGACAAATTGATAGGATATGCGAAATCTTTGGAAAGTGCAAGTTGAAAACTGTTGAATTTACGTTACGTCGGAGAGAAGTCAATAAATCCTTTTGAATTGGAGCCGATTTCAAAATTGTGAAAATTCTTTGAAAGTATTTTTGTTGTGATTCTTACTTGTCGTGTTCTTTAGTTTTGCAATTCAAAGTAAGTTGAATGTCGAAATGATTTTTTCAAATTTTTAAATCTGCGTGTCTAAAATGTATCGCATTTAATTAGTTTAATGGATGAAAAATTTTGAAATTTCATCCAAAAGCGTGTAGACATTTCAGAAAATTTTCTGGTTTGCGTTTTTTGGCTAGAATTTTGAGTTGAGATTCCATCAGTGGTCTTCACTTCTCTTGTTTTTTCATAATTTTGAAAAGGAAAGTTTCTGGAAATCTTCTGAAAATCTGACCTTTTGATCTGTGCTCTTCATCCGCGTTATGAATGCCTTTCCTTAATATATTCAAATGATAATGAATACATTTTCTAAATACAGTATAGCAATAGATTTAAAAAATAATCTCAAAAGCTGTTCCAGTATCCGTTCTGATCCAGATTCTGGATCGAGTTCCCTCCCATGTTCTGATCATCATGCTGATTATGATAACGAGTCAAAAATAGTTCACTACAGTATTTCACTCCATTAAATTACATCCTCTGAATTTTGTTAAAATTTCCACGTTTCATTCGAATGAATCAACTTATTGAGACTGCGTAATTAGCGAGGAAATGTTTGTAAATTGAGAAGATTCTGTCTGTTTTGTTTACATGACCTAATTTACACGTTAAGAAATCTAAAGATCCAAGAGTCAATATAAAATTATAGTTGAGTATAACTTTTGGGTTGCATTCAAAAAGTGTCGTAAGACCAATATAAAAATTTTGAATCTATAAAGAGAAATACTTTTAAAATATTTTAATTGATATTACTGTATAAGGCAAAGTCTTTTAATAATTTTAGAAACAGCAGTTGCATGCTATCGCATTTTTCTGCCAATCTAATTATTTAATTTAAAAAAACTGGTCTTTTCGTACAATTAAAAAAATAAAATCTTTTTAAACTTTTTAACTGTACTTTTTGCATTTTCATCGGATGGAAGTGTGGTTGGAAATCCGGAGAGTATATGGATTCTCGAGAAAAAAAAATTCTCGTGAAAACCTGAATTTCGGGAGCCATTTTATACGATTCATGTGATTGTACTACTTATAAATTTTCCTCTGTGTTTGAAGTGTGTCAAAGAAAATTGTCGAAGCCGGATATTTTAAGAGTAAGGTATGTTTGTGACAACCCTGTGCGTTAATTTTTTTTAACGTTTCAAGCATCAAATTATTGTATTATTTTTCAATCGCATGTGATATTTTATTCTGCGGTTGATCTTGTGTATTGTGTACAATCTCTTGCATACTTTATTCGGAGTATTTTACGTCAGTGAGACCCCGGATTTTCGCGAGGACTTCGTCGAAATTTCGCGAGAGAAAGTAATTCGCGATCGCCTGATTCGACAACCCTGTTCTCCATCCCGCAATTTTCATTTCGTGCCAACTGCTCACATGCATCCAATGAAACTCAAAGCAAGCAAGCAAGCCATGAATAAATAAAATAAGTATAAAAAAGTCATCTCAGGGAAGGAGAGGATTGGTATCTTTTTGTCAAGCGTTTCTTTCTCAACAACTCGGAATTTCTCTCTCTCTCCCACCCCGCGAGGTCGTTTTATTGTTACCTGACCAAGGAAGGGAGAAGGAGGAGGAGGAGAACGACACAAGACGGGGGTTTCGCGACTTTGACCTTGAACAGAGAGAGAGAGAGACTTGCGAATTTTTCTGCACTTCTTCTTCCCCCCTCTCATCGGAAGAGAGACGTACACACATTTATATACAGACTTGTGTGTGGGGGTGATTTATTGCGGTTTTTCTCTCTCTCCGGTTTCGTGAGAGGGGGGGGGGTTCATCGGCCCGGGGAATATTTTGCAGTCATTAATCACCTGGGCGGTAATTGGGGCGGTAATGAATCCTGCGAAAATTTTTCCGTGAATTCGGGATCTCCTGAAAAACGCGGTCGTAAATTTCCTCACGGAGAGAAAAAAAAAAGAAAGACGAGAAAAATAATGAAAAAAGCGACGTCCGAGAAAAGAGAAGGGACCTGTTGCACATTGATGACCTGTCTGGACAAAACACGAGGGAAAAAGTCTATAGAATCTCTGCTTTTGTATCTGTGTATATGGATGTGTGTGTGTGTGTGTGTTTTTTTTTCTCTCGTAGAATAATGAACTGTGAAGAGATAAATGAAGATGAGGTGTCCAGTGCTTTTCATGGGGCTCTCAAAAAGTTTATTTCATGTGTGTGTGTGTGTTTTCGTAATAATTTTTGAGCTTCCAGTAGGCTTGAAAAGTTTCCCTCCACATTTATTGTCCAGATACATTATTCATGTGGTTTAAGAGTTTC